TCTGTTAAACTGGCTTGGAGCAGGTGCGCGCTGCTTAAAGAGCGACTTGTATTTGACGCCCAGAGGAGGCGGGACAAACGTTTTCTGACGTGTCTGTGCACCAGTAGGAAGCCGGGGATCATTCGCACGTTGGCACAATTGGCTTAAAACAAAGACCACCGCGTCCAAGGAGCTACAGCTATTATTGGGTGCAGGATTGTGCATTGAAAACGATGAAGCCGTATTGTGTGTGTCTGGTAGCAGCCAGCGGGCACTGAAAGACGTTGCAGCAAAATGTTGCTTCTAGTTCCCTTCAGTGTTTGTGTGCGGAATTAGCCGCTACTTAGCCGTGTGTGCGCGCAGAGGCAGCGGGCTCCGAGCCGCCACACCGCCGCGTCAGGTGAATGCGCCTGCAGTGATCCAGATCGCCCCTATGGATCGCGTCCATGGATGTCTCCAAACCCGCTTTGGACAGTAGTTCGAGTCCCAAGGCGTGCGTTTCTTCGTCCGAAGTGGGAGAGACTGATGTTTTTCGCTGGCCGACGCCGGAGGAAGGCACCAGCACCAGCGCCGCTCCGATTGCCGGACCCTCCGCGCCGGGCTTCTGGACGGCCGTGTTCGACTATGAAGCGTCTGCGGACGACGAGCTCAGCCTGCGGAGGGGGGACCTCGTGGAAGTCCTGTCCAAGGATTCCCTGGTGTCGGGAGATGAAGGCTGGTGGACTGGTATGATAGCAGACCGGGTTGGCATTTTCCCGTCTAATTATGTGAGCAAAGGAAACGGCATTCCGGAGGAGATTCGGGACACCTCGGCGCAGCAGTACTCAGTGCCTCCTCTGCACCGTGAGTATCCCATTGTGCTTCATCCTTCTGCTAATGAAATCAGGGCTGTGGTGTGTTTCCTTGTCTTTCGTCAGAAGGCCAGAGGAACCCACGTTGAGAGTGCTGTGTCACGGTAGGCGCAGTGCACTCCTGTTTGCCCAGAAACAGGCCCAGCGTCCTCGCAGCTTCAGGACTGTGTTCGTCACACGGGCAGCCAGCCTCGATCAGTGATGCAGTGTTCAGATTAACATGTGTGCGGCATTCTTTGCAAAATCCACGTTTAAAGGAACTGGGCACGTACCTGCTTTGGATATGAACCTTTGATATTCACTGCGAAGAAACGCTTTGGCTTGGTATGCGTTTATTTTTAGGGTGACTGTGTTTCCCCCACATTTGTGCTGCAAGAGAGAGACTAAAAGCTTCTGTAGTTAAGTGTGCAGCCTCAGAGTAAACACAATCAAAAGCACCTACATTGCACTGCACTGTGAAGGCCAAAAACATGCTCTGCAGCAAGAAAACCTGCCTTGTCCACAAATCTCATGTCTGCATCTGAGCATGAAGAGGTGCTGGGGTGGACCACACCTCCTCAGTCGTCTCTTCATACTCAGCAGCAGCTGGCCTACTTTCACATACCATCCCAAATGAAAAATTAATGAAGGTCAGTCTGCTTAGTGGGGTCCACAACATGAACATTTACAGCCACAGTCCAAACAGCTCCTGTTTGGACTGTGGAAGCTCCTGTTCACATCATCACACAGTTTTAGTTGAAACACTTGGTCCTCCTACCCTTCTTCTTCTCCTGATGTTGCTGCCACATTTTAGGACATGCAGATATAGTTCCACCACATCTTGTATTTGGGGCAGCGGGGTAGCTTAGTACTTTGAGAAATCATCCTTCAAGTGAACGCCCTGGTTCTGAAATTCTTGTTGCTGTAGCAAGCACAGTCCCTGCTAATGAGGAGAACGGTGAAACCCAACCAGCTCCAGACAGGTTGGCCATGACCTCTAATGTCCTTGGATAGCTTTTAGCAACAATATAACTTCCCCTTAAAGATTAAAATGATCTCAGAGCAACACAGCTTTTTTTGTCTCAACTTTGTCCTCTTCCCTTGCATCTCTCTGCAGTCCTGGAGATTGATTTCTCAGAGCTGACTCTAGAGGAAATCATCGGGGTGGGTGGTTTTGGAAAAGTCTACCGTGCGGTGTGGCGGGGCTCGGAGGTGGCGGTTAAGGCAGCACGACGGGACTCTGATGAGGATGCGGAGCAGACTCTGGAGAGTGTTCGTCAGGAGGCCAAGCTCTTTGCCATGCTCGACCATCCCAACATCATGGCTCTGCTGGGGGTGTGTCTGCAGGAGCCCAACCTGTGCCTGGTGATGGAGTACGCTCAGGGTGGCTCCCTCAACCGGGCCCTTGCAGGGAAACGGATCCCGCCCTGTACGCTGGTGGACTGGGCCGTGCAGATTGCCCGGGGTATGCTCTACCTCCACAGCCAGGCCATCGTCCCCATAATTCACCGCGACCTCAAGTCCAGCAACAGTAAGATTGACTTCACATGGTTATTTTTTATTTATCTGTGTGATCACTTGCTTTGTGAAGCTCTCCCAAAAATTTTATTTGAGGAATTTATTTAATACAAGATTAATCCGTTCTGATTTTGATGTTTATTGTAGTGCAAGCTGCAAGTAACAGTTTTCATTATCATTTTCACTATTGGTGTTTTGATTTTTGTCTTAAAAAGGCAGAAGAAGAGTCAAAAATGCCCATCACCGTTTCCTAAAACCAAGGAAATGTCTTCAGATTGTTGGCTTTGTCTCACTAGCAGTGCAAAACCAAAGGATATTCAATTTGGAATGTTCCAAAACAAAAAAAGACAGTAAATCCTCACATCTGAGATGATTAAACCAGAGAATGTTTCATATTGTCTTTAAAAAATAGCTCAAACAGTTAATCACTTATCAGAACATTGTTTTCATGTGATATGTCAGCCTTGAGGAAATTTCTTCAAATTTGGCACAACTGTCCAACTCGAAGAACTGATTAGATTTTGGTGGTCAAAGGTTAAGGTCACTGTGACACACTTATATTTCCTCCACCCATGACTGAAGGGGTCATTCTAGTCTCATGTTATTCTCTGTTAATTATTTATTTGTTCATCATTTATTTATTGTAAATTTACTGTGGGTATTTAGTCTGACATGAACAAACAAATTTGAAACACCACCATGGTGCCTAATGTCAGATGGTCACTTGTCACTAGTTTCTTCATGTTATGAGGTAAAGTATTGTCTGATTGATTAATGACTTTCTTTCTGGTATTCTATCGCATCTTTGTCAGGTCGTTTTGTGCGTGGGGGAAAAGAAAAAAAAAAAAAAAAAAAAGATCCTGCACCTTTTAATTATAATATAACCTGTATCACACCATGCTCGGTCGATGCTAAAAACAGCTGTGATTTCCAGTGGCAACATGTAATTAGAACTGAGAGCAGAAAGGAAAAGGTATTTACATATACAGTGGGTACGGAAAGTATTCAGATCCCCTTAAATTTTTCACTCTTTGTTATATTGCAGCCATATGCTAAAATCATTTAAGTTCATTTTTTTCCTCATTAATGTACACACAGCACCCCATATTGACAGAAAAACACAGAATTTTTGACATTTTTGCAGATTTATTAAGAAAGAAAAACTGAAATATCACATGGTCATAAGTATTCAGACCCTTTGCTCAGTATTTAGTAGAAGCAGCCTTTGGAGCTAATACAGCCATGAGTCTTTTTGGGAATGATGCAACAATCCACCATGGTGGTGTAGAACCATCTCAGGGATGATCAGAAGAAATGGACAGCACCTAAGTTAAATATATGAGTGTCATAGCAAAGGGTCTGAATACTTATGACCATGTGATATTTCAGTTTTTCTTTTTTAATAAATCTGCAAAAATGTCAAACATTCTGTGTTTTTCTGTCAATGTGGGGTGCTGTGTGTACATTAATGAGGAAAAAATGAACTTAAATGATTTTAGCATATGGCTGCAATATAACAAAGAGTGAAAAATTTAAGGGGGTCTGAATACTTTCCGTACCCACTGTATATCTGTAATCGTGCATTTTACCCAACTGGATCCCCTAAATCCAAAGCCTATTACTGGGGATTTGCCAAGCGCTCTGCCCCAGTCTCTGCATTGGAGACTCCATCAATACATACAAACAGCTTCCTGCCTGCCATTGGCCCGTACGCCGATGATCAGCTCAGGAGCTTTGCTGCCAATAGGCTGCGTTAAAGTGTTAAGCCAGTCTAACTAGTTGTCACTGTGGGATCTGTGGTGAAAACCCATGCCCTCTGCACAGAACATGAGCAGTACAGGACAGTGAAGGCTGTGGCCCCATATTTAATTTCTAAGAAGTTACAAATCACACAGATCCCTGTGGATCAGGAAAGACTTCAGGATGGGGTGTGTATACCAACACATCACAGTGGTAATGAAGTGGTTGGTGGCTCAGGCCCTAAAACGACACCAACTCGAGATTTCTTCCTTCCTTGTTTTTCTCCCAGACTCTGAAACAGGAGCTTAACAACTGTGTTTAGTGCTAATTGGCAAATGTTAGCACAATAAATTAAGATGCTGAACATGATCAAACATTATACCTGCGCTGTTAGCGTGGTTATTCTAAGTATTTTAGTATGCTGGCGTTAGCATTTAGCTCAAAGCACCACTGTGCCCAGGTACAGCCTCACAGAGCTGCTAGCATGGCTGCAGACCTGGAGCTTTGTTACTACATGCACCTGATCTAAAAGCCTGGTTGTGCAGCACTTCTTGTTTTTCATATCCCTCCCTGTGAAACTGTAGTGGCTGCGCTATTCTCCTGTGACTCTGATCAAACCACTCCATGCAGTAATGTCTACTGGATATCACTTTCTTTTTGCTGCATGCTCAAACACTCAACAACTTTACTGTAATTTATGCTCAAAAATACAAATTGTTACAGCAACTAAACACTTTTGTTCTCTCTTTTTATGTTTAACCCACTCAGTAACTTGTCATCTAGCAATCCTGAATCAGCCTTGTTTTTTACCTTCCCCCTCTCAGCTCTACTGCCTCCTTTCTGCACAACATACCATTTGGTAGATGCTCTTATCTAAAGCACTGTGCATTACAGTAAGTGCACACATTTGGAGCGTGATTGGCCTTGTGTGAAATCAGCTATTTTATGTTCTGCCTCTTGAGCTACACAGGGGCAGGATTTACTATAGCCACATGTTTGGATTTTGTTTGTTTGGAGCTTTTGAGTCACATGAGCAGCAGATGATGTGCACCGCAGCCTGCAGACACACCCTCACCACTGGGCACAGCCACAGTGGATGGCCTGTGCCCGAATGCTGAATGGGGGAGAGAGAGCATGTGGTTAGGAAGAGCCATGCTTTATGCTTTGCTTGTGTTTGCTGGGAGTGTCTTTCAGAGCCTATTAGAGCAAATGGGTGTGTCTCTGTAGGATCTGTTTGTTTGAGCTGTTCTGTTGTGAAAATACACAGTGAGGTCGTTAGTATTGATCAAGGTCAGTGATTTTTCATCTCTGCTTTGCTGTGTTATAGAGGCTCACTGTTTCTTGGTCTCTCTGTTTGCCTTCTCTTTTTCTCTACTCTTTTATCCTTCCACTCCTTTCATCATGACCTCCCACCAACCGCACCCTGTTTTGTTCAACCATTCGTTTGATTTTTGCGTTTCCCCATGCATTGTGTTTTATTGTGGGACTCCTGCTCCAAATTCCGATGATGATTACCCGAAACCTTTTACTTTACCATCAACCCACTTGCCAATCCGCAAAAATTCCCCTCACATCCTACAACCTCCTCCCCATCCTACAACCAAAATCTTCTCCCCACTTCCCTCTCCACCATTGCTGACCCACATATCCGCTCCAGTCCTAATCCTGGAGAGGGTTGAGATGGAAGACCTCAGCAACAAGACTCTGAAGATCACAGACTTTGGCCTAGCTCGAGAGTGGCACCGCACCACCAAGATGAGCGCCGCTGGCACCTATGCCTGGATGGCTCCCGAAGTCATCCGCTCGTCTACTTTCTCCAAGGGTAGCGACATTTGGAGGTGGGCAGAGGAGGGGGTTTATGCAGTAAACAAACTGCGCTGTGGTCTGAAAACAGAGCCAGAACGAGAAGCAGTTTGTCCACCAAGCACCAGAAAAGGTTCAGTTCTGGCAGCAGTTGCCATAGTAACAAAGCCTAGACAGAGACAAGTGCAGAGTGTTGCGTTTACAGGTACTATTAGAAAACTAGACAGGGAGTACATTCACTATAAATATACTACACAGAACATTAGGTTTATGCAGCCAGGTAACGGGAACAGTCATCATGGTGAATCTTGTCTCTGCTTTATTTAAAAGCTTAAACACTGACAGAACACAGTCTGATACAATGCAGTGTACCACCTTATATTTTAGTGCATGTTTTTCTATTTCAAGATTCAGAGGTTTTATTTGTTCCATGCTCGTTCAGTATATGCAGTGAAGTGCAAAGCGGCGTACTCTTCAGGCTGTGTGCACCATAAAGAATGATATAATGAAAATCCAGAGAATAAAATAAAACAATAACATTAACTGCAAAAAATACAACACAGTTTTGTAAGTGCAAGGATCTAAGGCTGCTTTTATAGATCATGAATGTAGATTGAGAAATTGTGATGTAGTCTACATTTTCTGATCCTTTTTATAGACCAAGTGATTTGTGGGTTAAACAAAACTGGTAGATTAATGAAGAATGTAAATGACCATCAATTTCAGCCTTTACTGCAGGTTAAATCAGCTTTTATTCACGGTAGGAACATGGTTCAAACAGCCCAGTAATATATGTCCTAAGTAGTCATTTGAAAACAAGATACTTTTGATATTTCCCTCCTCTGTGTGATAATTGTGTGGAACAGTGACACAGTCATTGTAAAGCAGTCTGTTATGGAGCCTATGCTCTCAAACCCACAGGGAGGCGTGTGCACTTGCACAAGATGTGTTAATGACTGTAGGCAGCACACAAGTGTAAAATAAGCTTCTGCTGCTTTGCAGGTTTTCATCATTAGCACATCTTGTGCAGTTGATGTACTGGAAACATTTAAATGTGAATAGTCCTGTTTAAAGACCACAAGAGTAAAGATGTGTTCCTAATCAGTGCTTCTGTGCTAGTGTAGAATTTTAAAATCTGAAATAAGTACTTTATTTTGCCTTATGAGTGGAGATATTATGAGACAACACGCTTCAGGAAGTGCAGACAGTCAGAGCAGAACTTTGCTTTTTACCCAAGTGCTGTTTAATCCAGATGTGTTGTTAGGTCATTCAGATTTGCCAGAATTTGGGTAATAATTTTATAACTGGCCACACAGTGTGTAGCGCTGTTTTCTGATTTGTCATTCACCCACAGCTCATCACTTTGTGACCTCTACACTGATCACTTGGATCTGTCAGTGACTGTGTTTGTCTGTTGACATTTTCTTAGTTTGTCCTTTTCTGATTCACCTCAGTGTTTATATGAATCACATTTATTCAAACATAGATTCACACTCTTTGAGCGCATATCATGCTTGACATACTTCTGCACATTTATCTTCATAACCAGTTGTGGAGCAGGGCTTTTTACGCTTGTACAGTATCAAGCCTCTTATCTCAGGATGATTGGAGCATCGATAGAAGCACATTATTTGAAGGTGTATGTCCATAATGTATTTATTTATAAATGGTTACAGATTGATTCAACATTGTTTGGCTTGTTTTACTTTCCTTTTTTTTTTTTTTTTTAACAATGCAGTTATGGCGTGCTGTTGTGGGAGCTGCTGACTGGAGAAGTTCCATTTCGGGGTATCGATACTCTCGCAGTGGCTTATGGAGTGGCAATGAACAAACTGGCTTTGCCCATTCCTTCGACTTGCCCTGAGTCCTTTGCACATCTTATGGAGGGTAAGACTGGCAAAAACAGAATTGTATGTCCTGTTCAATATCAATTATTATCCCCCAAATGTCACTTTATGTGCCAGAAAGATAATATTGAACAATAAACTACAAGATTTTGTTTATCCACTGTAGCAAATAACAGCCTCCGAAATATAACAGTTACATTAAATAAACAAATGGAATGTTTTACTTTCTGGAACTATTTGAAGAGCCAAAAATGTTTTTGCTGATCCAAATTTGGCCCAAGTTTTTAAGACTGCTTTTGCTACAGAATGCTGGAGCCCAAACCCTCACTCTCGGCCACAGTTCACAACTGTTCTGCACCAACTGACGGCCATCGAGGAGTCGGGGTTTTTTGAGATGCCAGCCGACTCCTTCTGCTCTCTGCAGGATGACTGGAAATTGGAGATCCAGGAAATGTTTGATCAACTGAGGACCAAGGAGAAGGTAAAGATAAGAGGCTGAATGTGTAAAAACCTGTTATGCAGATGTTTCTCTAATGGCATATAGACTAGAATCTGTTTGAAGTCTAAAGTTGAGACCTGAATGCAGCTAATTTACTGGTTTCAGTGCTTTTTCCTTCACCTCGTTTACTTGTTCCCTCAGGAGCTGCGATCGTGGGAGGAAGAGTTGACCCAAGCAGCACTGCAGCAGAAGTGTCAGGAGGAGGCGTTGAGGAGGCGCGAGCAGGAACTAGCTGAACGGGAGATCCACATCCTGGAGCGAGAGCTCAACATCATCATTCAGCAGCTCTACCAGGACAAGCCTCATGTGGAGAGCAGGCAGGGCAAGTTCCGCCGCAACCGCCTTAAACTCAAGGATGGGAACAGGATCAGTCTGCCTTCAGGTAAAAAACACAAACTGTTGTGTGGCGGTGAACAGTCAACTTTTCAAAGTGAGCTGAATTTTGAGCAGTGATATAAGATCCGGATCATAATAGCAGGTTTTTGTGTTTTCAGGATCTTAAATTATTGCTGATATTGTACAGTTTTTATAGGCTTACACACCTGGCCCTTATCTACTTGGACATTAGCTTCACAGTATTAATCTTTCTACCTTAAAACAACCTCTAGCCTGATTCTGAGGTAACTAGCATCTGTAAAAATGCTTAGGCAGACGGTGTGACTGCAAAGTAAACATTAAAAAAATCAAATAGCAGCTTTAAAGTGTTGATTGTAGATGAACCCTGTGGAACTGTAATCATCTACTTCCTCTCAGAGGTTTTCTCTTGTTGATTTAGATTTTCAGCACAAAATCACAGTGCAAGCGTCTCCCTCGCAGGATCGACGGAGGAGTTTGCTCAGCAGCGGTTCCACTCCTCCCACCAGTCCACCGATGCTGCCACGCCTGAGAGCCATCCAACGTAATCACCACGAGAATTTTATAGATTAAAACTGATTTATTTCAACTGGTCATTCCAAGGATGTCCAAATTCATTTGGGGGTTTTGTACAGTTATTATCCATTATAAACCATCATCGGTTCTCTAGATGTTTCTTTTTATGCCTCATCTTGTAGTGACTCCACGGGAGGGCTGTACGGCCTGGGGTCATAGCACATGTTTTCAACCAGATGACGAGGAGACAGAGAGGAAGGGCTCCAGGATGAAAGGCAGATCCCGTGGGTGTGGCCCCTACAGGGAGCACAGCGCTGATGCCAGGTTAGGGGACTGGAGGCACAGTCCACCTCAGCTCTCCTCTCAGAAACCCCACTTACCCACTTTTCCTGATAACATTAATCTTATCAGTTAATGGTTGTAATTTAGGCCACAATCACACAAATCAAATGATGTTCTCCTTTCTTCCTAACAGTGTGAAACCTCCCCATGAGGGCAGCAGGCAGCGATCCTGCAGTGCCCCGAACCTTCGCAGATCACCGAGACACAGCCCGGCGGTGCCTGGAGTGCCGAGCCTCGTGGAGATGGGTAAGCAGGACCAGCACAGCAGATCTGTTTTGTCTGGAATACAAACACACCACACAATAATATGGAGAATAGCCTTATAGTGCAAGAAGTGGCAGACTAGCTGGGAAAACATGGGATTAGTAAAATGCCTCATTCGTACATGGAACTTGGTGGTTGACCTGGGAAGCTCTCAGATGTGCAGCTGTGTAAATGTAAACAGGCTGTTGCAGAAAAAGGATCCTGAACTGTGAGTTTCAGAAACACAGCAGCAGACCTCAGTTTGATTCAGGTTGTAGAAGAATTGTTATACAGTATGTAAGGCTTGTCCATCGTGCAGCATGAGGGTGTGTGTATGAATGTGTTGTGTTTTTTTGTTTTAGAGAATGAAGACTGCGGCTTCACGACTGAGCCAGGAGCAGCTCCTGGTCAGTCCTACCTCTGCATTCCCTTCCATAAGGAGGGTCACTCAGCTGCTGCTGACAGTAATGGAGATGAGTACTGCCCCAGCAGCCAGGTGCCAGGAACACCACCATGCAGAAAGAGCCCAGCTGGGGGTCGGCGGTCTGAGCTGGTCCTCCTGGGCTGTGGAGCTCTGCTGGCAGCTGTCGGGCTAGGCTGCAATCTGCTAACTCTGGCCCAGCCAGAGGAGAGCATCAAACCACGATGGGAGGGTTTCTTCCACAAAGCAGGGGGCCAGAGGTGGAGCACCAGCCCCCAGACTCGAAAACTGTTCAGATGGGAAAGTCCTCTGAAGCCCACAGCGCCCTCGTTACCTGAGCAAGGCTTACCCTGCTCTTACACGTTGCTGTCCCTATCATCAGTGTCAGACTGCAACTCTACCCGCTCACTGCTACGCTCTGACAGTGAAGAGCTGTTGGTCTGCCATCACGCCTCACCGCCCACACAGCCCTCTGTCCAACCACAGCGCCAGGCTATCCAAACCACAGTCAACCCGCTGGTCAACACCCACCTCGAGAGCTTCAAGTGTAACCCCCGCCAGTCTCTCACACCCACACATGTACCCTCCACTCTGAATTCCTCACGCAGCCTGCGCCGAACGCCGTCAGATGGCGCTATCAAGAAGAGCTGCCCTCCTAATAACCTGGAACCGCTGCCAGAAAAAACGATGTTGGAGAGCACAGGTAAAGTCTTCATTTTTCCAACTAGATGTCCACCCAGTGGAATTAAATGTTTTTATTGGTGTGGGTCTCAACACCGATCATGTTTGATGGATTATCCTGAAATTCATTCCAGGATGAGCTGTTATAACTTTGGTGATCCATCATCAGGTCACAAATGAAACTGTGAACATGATTAAATATTTAGCTCAAGGCTCAACTGTGTGTACGTACAGCCTCGCATAGCACAGATGTTAATTTTTGTTTTATTAATCTCGGTCTTTTATTTCACACTCAGAATACTGACAATGTACAAAGACATTTCTGAAACTGCTTTCAAAGCAAAAACTGTCCACTGAGCATCAAATGGTCAAACTCTGGGCAGAGCACAACCAGAATTATCATCTGAGTTAATGGTGCTTTTCACTTAATGGTTTTTTTTCTGTTTTTCTTTTTTTACACCTGCAGGTGGTTTCAGGGGTTTAAAAGAAGACTGTCCTGAGGTCCCCCGGCTCCCTGATCCAAATGTTGTTTTCCCTCCCACACCGCGTCGCCGTTGTGCCCCAGAACGCCCCAAAACCCTGGACTTTGTGGCTCGGCCTCGGCCTTCACCACGGGCACGCTGTGATGTGTTTTGGCCAGAGATGAGGCCCAGGGGAAACAGCCAAACCTTAGGTAATGGCGAGTCCCCTGCCCACACATCCAGCACAGAGACTCCACCCACTGTAGAGTTTGGGAGAGACCCGGCAGTGCTGCCCACTCCCATGGAGGCCCCGACGCCTTACTCCCCCCACACAAACAAAACCCTGTTGGATCAGCTGGATGAGGGACAGTATCGGGATGGAACTGTCCCACTCTGTAGACCAGAGTTCAGCTTTCCCAAAGAGTCACCTTACCACCACAGACCTGGGTTCTGGTCCTGACTCGGCTCCATGTGCATACAGCCTGGCTCTTCACTAGTCCTACACAAGGAGGAGACTGTCCCTGCTCTTACAAGTCTCGGTCAGTTAGTACTCTCAGACTGAATCTGTTTGTAGCTTTAATCTTTCTCCGTCTACAGTATTGTCACTAAATTACAGGAAGACATTTACTGTGAATATTTTGGCTTTCTGACATTTGTTGTATTGTCACTTGTGGTAAAAAAAAATCCTCCAGCCACCGAAACAAACACTGAAAAGTATTTAACCCTTTGTCTTGATTTCCTCTCACTTGCATAAACCCTGTCATTTATCCTTCAACATGTGAAGAATGGCACTGATAGTTTCATAGAGCTTTACACACTTTTCTTAATTTCAAACATCAGTTGAAGATTGTGCACTTGGGCAAAGCATCATGAATGTAAGGTTTCAGTTTTTTTCTCCATCGTCATAAAAATGCTGTCTCTGATTATTTGTACTTTCTGAAGAAGCATTGTGTTGTTTAGAGTTGTCTATATATTTCTCACTCCAGTGCAAGTGGCTGACGGATGCATGTTTGGTACAGATCACTTCTGCTGAGTAATATCCCAGAGACGGAGGAGGCTGTTGTATACAGGGTGTGCGCGGGGTTTTAAAAAGTAATAAAAAGTGATTAATCAAAATTGCCAAATTTAAGGCCATTAAAAAGTGTTTAATTTGGTTTAGAGGTATTATTTTTTCAGACTATGGTGTCCTGTTCTAAAATTTGCGCTAGTTCGTTTAAATGTGGGCTTTAGCATATCGGGGCACATAATCAAAGATCCTCGTCTAGTCTCAACTTTGTATGTTTGATGCTGACGTCACATTCAGTGGTCGTTCGAGATCTCAAATACTTTGCGCGCTCAGCTCAACTGGATAGCCAACTGGCTAGCTTATATAAAAAAGTAAAACAGATTATTTTCCAAAGCATTTGCAGTGAACATTCATTAATGTTCCTCATTTGTTAGGACCTTCAAAGCAAACCAGGATGCAAGGTTGGTGAGCTTTCTGTGCTCACCTTCAGGCAAGAATGTTTGCAGGGCCTGGTTAAGGTGGTTATGAAGCTACAAGAGAAAAGCCCCCTGAAATTCCCAGTGGCCAGGCAGGTTGCCTGTTTGGGTCCTACAAAGATGCACAGAAATCCTGATTGGTGCATCAGACAGATGAAGAGCATAGTGCAAACATTCCTCCAGGGCAAGCAGCTGGCAGGTGGCATCCCAGCTGGTAAGAAATTATTGTACAGGGACAGTTAAAAGTGCATAGGTTATTCAGATTGATTAAAGTCGTGTGTCAGAAGTCTCATTAGCAAGGTGGGTTTTCTGCATTCTCCTCTCAACAGTGAGAGGAGAACACATTCCTAGCTCTATGATGCTGTGATATATGTGTTGTCAAATGGGTGACAACTGAATTTAAATGACCTATTAATTACCTTAATTTCTGTGTCACTGCCATAGGTGATGTGATCATTCAGCAGTTCACGTCATTTCTGTCTCTTGAGGCCAGAGATGAACGCTTCCGCTCTTTTCAGCCTTTGAAGCAGCGTGTGGATGTATTTCTACACTCAACGCTCAGCACATCCTACACTGACCTGTTAAGGTTCTGCCAGAGCCTTTTACTGCTGTCACATGGACAAGCCAGCGTGGAGAGAGGTTTCTCCATAAACAAGGAGGTGGAAACATGTAACCTTCTAGGTGAATCCTTGGAAGCACTGAGGTTAATATGTGACAATGTCAGTAGCTGTGGTGGTGTCCTCAAGGTGCCTTTAACCAAGGACCTGCTGGCCTCTGTGGCCTCAGCAAGGTCCCAGTACAGGCTATACCTTGAGCAAGAACGCAAAAAGAGGGAGAGTGCTGCTCAGACACTGAAGAGGAAGGCCGCAGAGGAAGAACTAGTGGAGCTCAGACAGCAACACAGAGTCCTGGACGATGTCTGTGCCATCCTTGAAAATGATGCCAACAAGTTGGCCGAGGAGGCAGAGGGGAAGGCTGGGTCAAAAATGGCCCAGCTTATCACTAAATCCAACACACTCAGAAGGAGATACAAAGAGAAAAAAGAGGAACTGGATAAAATGGACAAAACTATTGAAGAAAAGGCCATGCAATTAAGACACTTGCCATAAAATTCTTTTGCTCATGAGTTCATATTAGGCCTATAGCACAGGTTTATGTTAAAATCAAATAATAGCAGTTCACCAGTTCATAGTTCATATAGCAGATGCCAGTTTGTAGCAGCGAATGCCAGCCAGTGTGCTGGAACTGTTCTCTTCATTGCACATTTTATGTAGTTTGTTTTATTTTTATTCATGAAGTGAAATAAATGTGTGCAATATGTGGTCAACATCAGTGAGTCTCTAAATCTATTCTGTTGTGTATAGTGTTATATATGTCAAAATCTGCTTCAACATTGATAAGGTCGCTGATTAACACTTGAAACTCAGTGTCATGATGGTTTAAAAAAAAATCCGAAGGTAGTAAAAAAAGGTATTAAAAGGTATTACATTTAACTTAAGGATTGCTGTATATACCCTGGTATAATATTAGCAACCCACAGTCTTGAAACGGTGTCAGTACAACAACGTCTGATGCTGACACTAAAGATTTGGGATGGAAATGCTTGAAAGGTCCAATCCAACTCATTGATTTCTTAACATTTGTTTGTGACCCTGTTGATCGGCTTGTTTGGATCCTGAGCCACCAGCTGACTTGTCTGCCTCACATGTTGCTGATCAAAACAGGTTTGGGAGTGTGAAGTAAACAACACCCAGCCAGGTGTTCCCTGCTGGAAGTTCATTTCTGGTTTTTTATGTTTGTATTGATTTATTTCATTGTATTTATTGATTTATCTGTCTTATTTTTTATTTTTTTATTATTCATTGTATTTGCCTTGATTCTTTGACACTCAGTGTTTTCCAGCATTTGCACGAAACACCCAGTTGATTGATTGTGAAGGTCGACTAAACGGGCTTCATGACTTTTATATTGATTTTTGTCTGTTTCACTGCATCAATCAATCAGGAATTTCCGGTTTCTTCACCAAGGTGCAACAAATAGTTTCAGTCCGAATAGAGAACTTCAGCTGAATTTATAAGTTGATTAATTAACGATGGGACATTTTTATTAGAATAATCAAATTAATCAATAATGAAAACGGCCCAAAAATGTGTTTTGCTGAGCTAAATGTATTAGAACTGTGTTCTGCACATTGCTTTCATTTTGTTTCCATATGTGACCTGGGTTTGTTTGGATCAGCTTGGGCTTAAATATTGTTTTCAAAAGATTTTGATTATTTGCAAATAATATCGCCTGTTTGTTTAAACCTGCAAGCTGGGCATAGTTTCAGGTAGGTCAGAGGTCGTTGTCTGAGCCACCTACTGTCAAACTATCGGGTAAAAAGAGCTAATTAGTTGTCACCTATTTAAAAATAATGGATAGAAACACTATCTGACTCCGGTCTTGATGCCTTTTTGTCCCACCTTATTTTCCCATCAAGTGACCTCGCGGCCAGGAGGGTCGTATCCACTGAGATGTGATCTGTATCTACTGTAAGTTTGACTCCATATACATGTAAATGTGAATGCTTTTTCTCTGCAGAATGTGATCCTGCTCACTGGTCAAACTCAGTATTTCAACCATGGGTGCTAGTTGAAATGAAGCACCCCTCCGAGGTATAGCCAAGGTGTCATTATCTGTTTGGAATGTTACCACAAATAAGCTGATCTCAGTGTTGCTGACAGACATTGTTCACAAGGGGAATAATACTGTTACTGACTCACTTGCATTTGCACTGGAACACACTGGTTTGAGTAAAATCATAGAAAACAGCTGAACTGTGTCACAGTCGTTTGTACTGCAGGACTTTTTCCTAATCATCGATTCACTTCTTTATTTACACATTTACACTTATCCATAGATTTATTTTAGCTTATGAAGGACGTGCAGTAGGAGGAAAATGAAAATGGACAACTGAGGGGAAACACCACAAAAATATTTTAATCAATAGACATTTATTACACACATACCCTTACAATAAATACACAGTATTTGTTTGTACAGTAAATGCTGTGGATGGAGTGCTTCGTTTTTGCATTAATAAACATAACTTACATAGCTTACCTCTCCAATATATTTTTGTGATTTTTATAAAGTAGCCTATTTACAGTTTGTGATATGTCTCATTTAGCAACCATGTGCTCTTGATGTCAGTGCCCCACATTTTGAGTTAGAAACGTACTTACTGAAAGCACCTTTTATTCAGATATAATTCAAAGTATTTTTAAAAAATCTTGTTTTTTGTAGTACTTTCAAATGTCAAAGTGTAGGTGGTTGTTACTCACATCTTGTGCGAGGGCAGGTGCTAATTTACAGTTACTCACTTTCAGACATGTTGGACTCACTCTGTGGACCTTGGTGCTCCTGTCTCTATCACAAGTGTTGGCCTGTGTGTGCAGTGTTTGGACTGGCAGCGTATCAGTTTGTAATGGTGAAAACATACTTGGGAAGGATTCATACTAGGTAGGTTTGGGTGTTGTTTGGTGACAGAAGCCCAGTGTCTGGTACAAATATTTAAAAAACCGCTTCAAGCACACAACGGTGAACTTCAATCACATAACTGGCAACTAGATGCTGTGCAAGGCAAAAGTAAACATAACATTGTTTGACACCAAGACCTCTGACTGGTGGCGTGTAAGGTCCGGGTGGCACACAGTGGGCTGAAATTTATGACAGGTGAGAAGTCATCAGAAAACGAGGGCTTATGTCGCCTCTTTTTTTTCCCGTTGGGCATTCCGGCGAATCTTCATCTCTGTCAGCTGGATGTAGCGGATGACGTTGGTGTCTGGAAAACAAAGAGAAAAAAAGGCTTATTTACTTTTTAGACAGGAAATGATGCATCATTGAGCTCATAAATCTTCCACTAAAACTGACCTCATTGTGGCACAGTAAAATCATACACACCATACTTTCTTTGCTTATCCTGTTGGGATTGAAATGGTCTGACAGGAACGACTCTGGCAAACAGTTGTTATTAATAAAGTCAAACATAAATATGAACAAAGCTGAGGGCTGTGGGACCATCAAAAACTTTAGTTTAAAATCATTTATCACAAATATGTTTTCCCAAGGTGGGCAGCACAGCGGCACGGTGCTTAGCGATGTCACCTCACAGCAAGAAGGTTCCGGGTTCAAGCTCCGGTGCCTTTCTGTGTGGAGTCTGCATGTTCTCCCTGTGCCTGCATGGGTTCTCTCCGGGTGCTCCAGCTTCCTCCCACAGTCCAAAGACGTGCAGCTTAGGTTGACTGGAGACTCTAAATTGCCCATAGGAGTGAGTGTGAGTGTGTGGTTGTCTGTCTCTAAGTGACAGTCCTGTGATAGACTGGTGACCTGTCCATGGTGGAGCTCGCCTCTCATCCAATGTCAGATGGGATTGGCTCCACCCCCTCGCCCCTCCAAGACCCTCCCAGACACACTTTGTATTTAATGGTGATCATAGCATGCTAATGTGCTGAACTTAGATTGTGAACATGCATGCTAAACATCACCATGCTAACATGAATATTGTGAGCATTTTAGCAAAGCAAACAATTTATATGGCACTTTTCTAAACTTACAAAGTGTTGTATATGCTTATCTTGTTACTTTAAATCACCAAACAGAACATTTCCTGCCAATCTGTTACTGCCTATTTAGATTTGTTATTGCTCATCTTTTTCATTATATTATATGTATTGTGTGGTATTTATGTGGATGGCAAAGTAAGAATTTCATTGTACAGGGAAACGCGTTTCCTAACTGTACATATGACAAATAAACACTTTGACCGTGACCTATTATTGAGAATCCATGACATAAAAAACTGCATGTTTGCCATGGAAGGAAACAAACTGTGTAGTCTGATGCTGCGGACTATTTTTTCTCAAGTGGCGCCGCATAATTTCGTTTTTCTCCTATTGTGCAATGACAATAAAGTCGATTCTATTCTATTCTTAAATACTGGAGCTCAGTGCCACAGCCGGTCAGACCTGACCTGATGGCTCCTGTTTGTGTGACTCCTTCAGGTAGTACAGGGCCTTCTGGAAGTCTCCTAGGTGGTAATAGGCCACTCCAGAGCGGTAAAGAGCTTTGAAGTTCTTCCCCTCTTTGTGTAGCACTTTGAGACAGTATTCTTTCACTCGTTCATAGTTCACCAGCTCCATTTGTAAAAGGCAAGCTAGAACAGGAAAAGAAGAGAGAGGAAGAGAGCCAATGTTTGATTTTCATTATATAGTAAAAGAACCAATATGTGTCCTGTCAGGCACCAAAATATAATGGATTCTTTGGTTATGCTTAAATAAATAACTACTACAATGATTCATTTGCCAAGGGGTGAATAAATATATGAAGTGAATATCACAGGAAAGTGAGGGGATGGTGGGGTAATCCTGGGAATGACTCATTCTCTTTATGAATCATTCATGATCTGTGGAGTCTTCCGTGAATCTTTCTGTGTTGTAAAGAGCATAGATAAGTGTAGTGAATGTGTGTGTTAAGTGTCAATTTGTGAGGGGAACGTCGTTTACCGGCCAGACTGTTGTAACACTCCAACTCTGCATTCTCCATGGCCCCCTTCTGCTCATCTGTCAGAGTGGTGGACTTGCTGATGGTCGGCAAGAGGGAGGACGCGGACTTGGAGCTGGTGTCGTCGGGATCCCCTAGCACCCTGCACAGCCCCTTGATCTCCAGCAAAGCGCGGTGATACTTGCCAATCGCCTCTCGGTACTTCTTATCCTTATAGCACTGGGTTCCTTGGGTCTTGAAGTCCAGCGCCCGCCTCACGACATCAGCTGGCTCGTTGTGGGATGGTTGTTTTAGCATCGACCCACCATGATGCCGCTGCTGCTGAAGCTGCTGGTGGTATCTGGCATCTTTGGTCCGACTGCTGCTGCTGGGAGGCTGAGCGCACTGCTGGAGCCTCGGGGAGCCGCTGTTGTTGTCCGTGAGGCTGCCTCTGCCGCCTTCCCTTCCGTCGTACCCGGACTGGATCACGCTCATTTTCGACATTTTCGTTATAGTTGCCCTGGCGCCCGGTCCTAAATTAACTGGGAAACTGAGGCTCCTTCAATGCATCTTCTCGGTCGTAGTCGCGCCCGCGTTGCCACTGTCGCGACTACGTCGTCTCTGTGCGCAATCCTGCGCGATGCGCGCTCCTCCGTTGTAGCCTGTTCTCGTTTTTCTCCCCCAACCAGCCTATTGGCCGATACTACAGGGCCAGCGTGGTCCCATGGGGGATCTTCCGGTAGGAAGAGGATAAGTATAAAGTTCATCTAGGCTATAGATAATTTCATTCGCCTACGAGTGTGATTGCAAGCAGACAGATTGCCTTGTCAGTGGGGTCTTTGCTGATAATGTGTATGATTTTATTCAGACTATTTTCAGTGCATTCTAATTCTGTTTCAATAAACCTTAGTATATTTTGTGTTCTTATGTGTTTAGTGGCCTGTTATTTTGTTAATTAGCCTGCATTCTAATAAATCTGGCCTTGTTTTAATTGGAGATTATAATTTGTCTAATAATAATGACATATGCTATGTTATTAGATTTCTCTCTGTCTCCCTGGACTCTCAACACAAGTTCATTTGGAAATTCCAATATATCAGCAATAGTCTATGTTTCAAGAATAATTAATGTTATGTAATATTTATGCTCTATAATGTGTTTATCAAGTCTAGGTTATGTGAAGCACTTCAGCTAACTTTTAGTTTGTTTTAAGTGCTATATAAATAAAAGTTGAGTTGAGTTGAATGAGAAGCTGTTATGTGCCGTTCGCACCTGTCAGTGAGCGAACGAGAAAGAGGAGGACCCAGGTAGCAGACTTCAATGCAAGCAATGATTTATTATGTACAGTGATGATGAGAGTAACAATACACAGAGGGAAATAGTGTGTAGTCCTGTCGATGAGTAGTAGCCAGGTGTTTGACCAACAGCAGGAGGTGAGGAGATGGAGAGCTGGGCCGAGCTGCGTAGGCTGGGTCACTCCTGGGCTGGTCGGTGGTGATGGTGGCTACTGAAGGTAGAGACAGAGAGATGATGGCAATAGTAGAACAGATAGGCGACTGAGCATTGACACTGCCTGGGAGGGGAGAGTGGAGCCACGGTCCAGAGGAACAGTCCATGGGGGGAACACAAAACAGTAGCTGGCTAGGGGATTAATACATACAAAAAACGAATGAGCACAGAGGAAAAAAATGTCTTAGATACTAGAACGAACTGGCAAGTGACTGAGGAGTGAAACCGTGTAATATAGTGAGTGACCTAATCAAGTGCAGCTGGTGATAAGGGAGTGAGGAACAGGTGAACGTGGTTAGTGTTAATGAGCAAGAGACAGTAGGAAAGGTGAGGGAGGCCAGAGCGGCCGAGCAAACCTGACAGAAGCACTTGGCAGTAAATATGAACCCCTCCATTCTCTTAAATATTCCATACGGTCTCTCAAATGCAATGGTCTCAGATTGGAGGAATGCAGTCATCTCCACTCAGAGGAATCAGATAAGGATCATCCAGCCTGTCATCTCTCGCCCAAGCAGCCTTCCACTCTCCCTGACTACTCAGTCACTTCTGACGGAGTCACGATGGGCATTTCTCTAATGAAATGCTATGATGTCATTCAAGATGGTGTTTATGCAGGGTAATGGTGTTATGGGCTTCTTTTATGATGGTAGGAACAGGCATTTGGAGTGTTATTTTATCAACAGCACTGAGTACTGTAGGTCCTGTGTATAAGGTTGTATAATTCACTATGCTTATATCCATTTGTCCTGTCAGTACATTGAGCTCAGCTGTCTGGGTGTGTCTCTGGAATTTCAGCTCTCTGGGGCAAGTGCTGCTAATCTTAAATAAAGACCATAAACCAAAAAAAAAACTATTAAAGAAGATTGTTTGTGTAATATTTTAACTGGGATCTACATGTATAATTGTCAAGGAAAATGCACATAGCTGTGTGTGTATGTGTTTAATGAACTGACTCATCGATTCATCAGTTAATCGTTTCAGCTACTTGTACTGACTAAATTAGTCAACTGTGGCTGTCAAATCAGTGTACTGCAGTAAATGTAGTGGAGCAGAAGTAAGCTCGGCTATATATAATCATAAGCTGAAAATAGGCAACTCAAGTAAAGTTCAAATAGCCTACCTCAAATTTTTACTAAAATACAGTACTATTGTAAATGTATTTTTTACCTTTATGAAAGCCCATGCCAATACACAGTGAGGCAAAAATAACGTTTATTTTTTCACACTTTTTCCTTTCTTCTTTTTAATTAAAAGCGTTTACTACACACTGGGCAAGCAAGGTGACATCATCAAATTGCGACATGGGGCATAGTGTGACGTAATCTTTGTGATACATTTTGTTTACATCATGACGGCGGTGGATTTCAGGGGTAGCTAATTTGCTGTTTAATAATTTTGTTAAAGTTGTTTCCATGTCTTTTTTCAGTAGTGATATTTAATACGTCAGTACTTTACGCTTGATGTTTCATGGGATAAATCGGCTGCTTAAAATTGGCACGTTCCAAATATAGCTAATTTGTGAGCGTTAACCTAACGTTAGCAATGATTAGCATGTCAGCTAAGATAATGCTTACTTGCTGCCAGTGCGGGCAGATCCGTTTGATCCAGATATTGGCTAATAGAGCAACGAATCATATGTCATATAAGTCCGAGCATCTTTAAGGATAGTTAACGTTACGTTAATTGCTAGTAGAGGATGATTTGAACGTCCGAGTTCAGTTACGATCACGTTTACTCACAGCGGAAAATAACTCTATTTTTTAAATTTAAGATACGTTTTTGATAGTTAAATGACAAGTGATTGCTGCTTTGGTAATGCGATTGTTACGTAGCTGCTCCAAAATGATTTTTAACTAGTGTCAGTGCTTGTTTGTGCTGTTGTATCTTGGGCTTACATACAGTAGCTCCAGCTTGTAACGTAATGTTAATGCCTGATGTATTTAGAGCACGTTTACTAAAAATGACCAAACCTTCAGCCCGGGGCATCATTTAAAATGTTGTTCTATTTGCAGACAACCTCCTTGGGATATCGTGGGTGGACAGTGGCTGGGTACCGATTCTTAACCCTACAAACGTACTGGACTATTTCTCTGAGAGGAGCAACCCCTTCTATGACCGAACCTGCAATAATGAGGTAGTGAAGATGCAGCGGCTCACTCTGGACCATCTGAAGTAAGTTAATTTAAAGATAAAGTAATAAATAAAATAAAGTGTCACATTAAGCTAAGAGCAGTACAAGTTCAACAAAACATACAGAATGCATGCAAAGATTCATACTAATGAAATAACATTTGGAGGTTGTACATAAACAAAAACCAATAAAACAGACTTGTTCTGCTTTAAGGGTCAGAAATATATTTTCAGCACACCTCTGCAAAGTTCTAGCATTAAGGGACTTTTGAAAAAGTGAAATCAAGCATAGTTTCTCTTATTTTCAGTCAGATGGTGGGAGTGGAATATATTCTTCTCCATGCTCAGGAGCCAATTCTTTATATAATCCGTAAACAACAGAGGCAGTCACCAACACAAGGTGAGCAGTGTGGTGTCTGATTAAGTTGTGACATGCTGGTTTGACAGTGGACAATGTGTATTGCATCTGCTTGTGATATTGCAGATTTGAGTTCACAGTTAGTTGCAACTTTTATTATGGATGTCATAAGATGGTATATTACTATCTAATACAGAGGAAGTTTAATTAAAAGTAGCCTTGTGAAATGGAATATCAGTGATACAACACACTAACGGTGTACTTTTTGATCAGTAGCAGCTGACATTGCATTAATACAATAATTAGTAACAGAATTCTCCAAGTGCGTACATATGGTGTTGTGTTAATTTGACTGAAATGCCACCAATCAGATTTGTGATTCTGTACTCACAGCTGGCACTAAAAGTCAGTCAGATTTGTTTACATACAGACAGTCTTGTATTTTAAACTCTTATTTAAATTTCCACACCTACTGAATGTTTCCATTCTCCAGTGTTTACTTTGGCTGACTACTACATCATAGCAGGTGTAGTGTATCAGGCTCCAGACCTTGGAACAGTGATCAGCTCCCGAGTGGTAAGAATTTGTAGTATGACCCTTTGTAATATGATGTAGTATAAAAGCTGATTATTAGGGATTTTGGTGTGTTGTACTGTGACTGACATTGATTATCTGTTTAAGCTGTCTGCTGTTCATGGAATCCAGTCTGCTTTTGATGAGGCCATGTCATACTGCCGCTATCACCCATCCAAAGGCTACTGGTGGCACTTCAAGGACCAGGAGGAGAGAGGTTGGGTGTTTTTGCAGATCATTAATATTTTACACTTGAGATATTTAGGTGGCATTCTTAGCAGTGGAATAGTACCAGTAACAAGATGACAACTATTAAAACCATCCGAGAGTGAATTTCAAGTTTGGAAAAAGCTGATTAACAAAACTTTTTTAAACAGAAAAAGCCAAACCTAAGTCTAAGAAGAAAGAGGAACCAAGTTCTATGTTTCAGAGGCACCGTGTGGACACACTCCTGTTGGACCTTAGGTCCAAATTTCCACCAACATTCTACCAGGTACATGTTGCATTGACTCTTAACAGTTTTTAATGTTGAATCTTCTCTGTGAATTCATTTGCATTTTCCTAAAATAAGAATTATTTCATATTGATCTAATGGCCTCCAAGTAATTTTTTTCTTCCTGTGATTTCAGCCTAAGCCCGGTGAGAAGCCTATTCCAGGTATGATCTTGAAGTCATTACATTTACATTCAATGTGTGGACATCAATGCTTGCTTAACACTGAGATTCATATACTGACTTGGCTTTATTCTGCCATAAAACTACTTACATGTATCACACTTGTCCAGATATTCTCCAGACAAACACACACACACACACACAAACAGATTCATGGACATGGAGACATGCAGATGCAGAATCACAACATGAAACAAACTATACATAACACAAAGTATTGTGCATAAAAGTGGAGAATGACAGAATTAAAAACAAAAGTTAAAATAATTTGTTTCTGTAGTAGTCCTGATATATTCTGTGGTCTTTCTATGGTTATGCAACTTTATTATTAGCATTTTGTGGGAATGTGTTGTGCTCTTGGAGTATTGTCTTTACTTGGTTTGCATTAATATAAATTTGACTTTTTAAAATGTAATGTAGTATTCAGATTTTAATGTGGAGGCAGAAGTCCAATATTCACAAATTCCATACATTTTCCTGTTATTGTTTTCTCTTCTCCTGCAGTTGAAGTGAAGAAGGAGCCTGAACCTCCCACAGAAACTGTTAAACAAGAGGAGAGGGAACTAGCCACAAAATCCTCTGCTCCAGCTCCACCAAGCAAACCTCCTCCTGAGAAGAGAGCAAGGCTACAATGACAGCCTTACCTCTCACACTCTGGGAAGATGAAGCAAGAACTAACTGGAAGAACCGCTTGAGATGAGGGGAATATTTCTGTTCTCTTTCCAAAACAGCTCCTGTGCCACTGTGCTTGTTTGATCAGTCTACAAGATGCAAAGAATGAATTGGCACCAAAAGTGTCAGTTGCTTGTCTAAGTGCCAGGCCTACTTTTACACTGTCACCCTAGTCTTGTACACTTGATGGGTTTGGCATCATGGACATTTCAGGCAGCTCTTAACTGCTTGATGTCAGCAGGCTTTTCACCCTATTCACAGCAGATGATGTTTTTGGATGATACTGTAAGATGACATCATCATCAGTGTCAGTTTACTGTTGACATCAGCATAATCTTTGATTTAGTCACTTCAGAAGACAGTTTAACTCTTAGTCTGCTTCACTGGGGGATGCATCATCATGCACTATGTCATCTGAAAAGCAAAGGCTTCTTGACCCAGATACTTTTCTTTAATTACAAACACTTTTATCTGTTTATACTTGTTTGTTAGTTTTTTGTATTAAAATATATCAGCTACTGTATCCTGATTTGGGTGTACTCTGTCTCTTGCAGAGTGGGTGGGATTGACACCACCACCCCTCCAACCATCTAGAGAATAAATGGTATAGATGATCAGTGGATGGGAACCACTGAATATAAAAGTAATTTAAACTAGCTCCATGGTAGAAATCAGATTATACATTGATGCATCAATATTAACGTTCTGTCATTCAAGGGCCACGTTTCCTGTATAAGTGGCCCTTGAATGATAGAATAATAGTGCTTAGTGATAAGTGCTTTTATTTTTATAAAGAATGCTGCAGTTCTTACTAATATTTCTGAACTTCTCCTTAGGCAGGATTTTGAATGCAGCACATAAGTTTTCATTGTTCTAGTGCTACTTTTGCTTAAGTAAAGGATTAGCACTTCCTCAACCTTTCAATCGACTTATCTTTTAAGCTTCCAAAAGGAAAAAAACATTTAGACCAGGTCTTTATGAAGACAGCAGATGAGTTTGAAAGTAGGGGTTTAATCACAAGGTGTCGCAATTTGGTCGTATTTGGTCCGAGGAGCTCCTAATTATCTAAAAATACATTTTACTTATTATTATTTGTGCTTTCTGCTCTCAATACGTTTAGTCATAAAGACGTGCGTAGACGTCCAAAAATATGCGGGCAACAAAAAGTGTCAAAGCACAAAGCAGTTTTAGATATCTTATACATTCAGTTGCTGCTTCCATATCTGGTAGCCTACCGCTACAGATCCCACGAAGAAGAACTCTTTCGCAGGGCGTGGTGGGATAGTACTCTCGTCATTGGAGGACTGAAAACAGTGCCCCAGCTGGCTGGCTAGCTAGCTGCAGAGGAGATGGCTGCAGAGGAGATTGTCAGGCCAGTGTCTGAAAACAGAGCATCGTTTGTAATGGTCAGCGACAACTAGCCGGCGTGTCACCCCGGTTGTTCCGTTGGTCGGCTTCGTCGGAGTGGTTAAAACAATATGGGGTGGCAGACTCTACAGATCCTGAGGCAGGGGGTCTGGGCTTCAGTTACAGGCGGATGGTACTACGACCCAGATCAAAACACATTCGTCAACGCTTTACATCTCTACATCTGGCTGTTTCTGCTCTGTTTTCCCTTCACACTTTACATGGTAAGATATCTCCTTTTTATTTTTATTTGTCATGACTGTTGGTAACTCAAGTTGCCAAAGCGAGTGACCGTTAGGTTAGCTACCATAGAATACTAACAGTCCGTCTCTGTCTATTATCTGGAGCGGAGACAATGTAACGTCTCATTAAACGAGCAAATGGTGACGAAACATTTGTAATACATTGAACATTTTAAGCACATTCATGAAATTGTCGCATTTATTAATAGACAAACCTTTATCAGCTAAAGAAATTGACAAAATGGTCTTTAAATGCCCCCTTTTAAGTGTAGCATCCACCAACTAGACTGAACCAAAATGTATTTTTGCTGAAATTCAGTGTTAGTCACGCTGTTGCTGTTGAGATCCGTTAGAACGTTAATAGTCAATTACACTGTGCCAGGCTGTAATCAGTGAATTTAATTTCCCTCCCCCCCTCCCTTTATCTACTTGTTTTCTTCCTGTCGCTCGGTAGTGATTTGCGGTTTCACCAGACTACCAGCTGTGACTACAAGGGCACAGCTGACAAGGCATAACGGTAATCTGGCAGTTTTAATGTTAAACAAGCAGACTCAAATGTCTGGCTGCCTGTTTGCTTATTTCATTTGTCACATGGAGTCTTTGTTTGCCTGTTTGTTTTCTAAAGACATCGTTTTGTGTGTAGGTTACTGTCCAAAAAAGGACTTGACACATAAGTAGCCTATCACTTGTAGTCCACTAGTGAATGTCATTTATGGGTTATTTGTTAAATAATTACACATGATCAAACTGTCTAATTCAGACAAGCTACAGAACAAGTTGAAATGGAATTGAATCATAGTGCTTTTCAGTTGCTTCTCTATACAAATGTACATATGCCAGGAAACAACTCTTTGCTAAGCATCTAAATTTATGTATTTAAGCTCATGTGTCATATAAATTTGTAGTTTCCCTTCTATTTCTGGAGTGGAAACTGGCTGGTCAGCTCTGTGGTATATTCAGCCACAAGTCTGAGTCCTACTGCTGTTTGTAATAAGTGCAAGCAGATACAGGGGGATATTTCAAAGACAACAGAGACACAGAAGCCGGAGCTCAGACACCTTAGGGTAAACATACAGGGGAAAAGTGAATGCAGCAGTTTTTAGTCACTGCCACTATGCTTCATAAAGCATAACCAACTTGGATGCAATAATTGGTTGCAATTCACAGGTTTGATTTCTGGTAGTACTAGGGCTACAATTAATGATAATTTTCAATGATCAATTACTGAATAATCTGCTGATTAGTTACAGATTTATTTATTTTTTTGTCTATGACACATCAAAAAATGTCACTGAGCTGAATGGGTGACGTCTCATGTTGTTTGACCAAAAGTCCAAGAAAACCCCAAATGTGCATTTTGTGATGATATATGACAAAGAAAAGCAGCCCCTTTTCTCTTTTGAGAGGCTGAATTCTGCATATTTTTAGCTTTGTTCACTATTTTTGCTTGAAAATGAAAAAGGAAACAATTTGTTGATTATCAAAATACTCTAGTTGCCTGTTGTTATATTTCTCTTGACCAACTAACTGTTTAGTTAGTTTAATTATTATTGTCTTTATTAATAAAAATGTCTAGGGAGAAATGATAAAACAATCAAAGAACAAACTTGGACAATAATAATAATAATTATAATAATAATATGGCATTGCAGTATCGTTACTGAGCCCTTGAGATAAATAAAGAGGATTGGAACAGAGAGAAAATGCTGCAGAGAAACTTCATTTATATTACAAAAGCATGATCCTGTTCTCTCTACAATATCAGATAGCCCGTATAAGGTCATTTCTACTTCCTTCTCTAATCCCAGGCTCTTCCTCCAACAATGGTCATTGTGGGAATCTACTGTGGTGTGATTGCTGCCATGTTTCTGCTGCTGAAGATGGTGAATTACCGCCTCCACAATGCCCTGGATGAGGGTGAGGTGGTGGAGCACCAGGCCAAAGAGAGCCAGGGCAGCAGAGGTGGCACCGAGGGGGCTAACGATGGAGGTGTCACTCGTCGGGAGGACAGCAATGGACCGGGGTAAGTTCATGCCTTATACAGCTTGATGGTGGAAGTGATGTCTAGACATGTTGTAGAAAGACTCTCCATGAGTGTAACTAAGCTGCTGAGATGATGAAGAAGACGAAGTATTCAGTACAGGCTTGTGTAGGCGCATTGTCTGTTAGGTAGAGGACGTCATGCCTCCTGATCAGTGATCACATGGAGCGTGATTGTGGAGTTAGTTGAGTCATTTAAATGTGGTGTCAGGTCAAAGGTTTTGTAGCAGAAGGAGAATCAATACATTGTCTTAAAGGCGTTCACACTGGACAAGATGAGTGCAGCTGTAACAGAAGCAGTGATGGGGGAAGTGGCTTGAGTTAAATTATGTGGAGCAGAAGAGAAGGGTTTCAAATGCAACAGATGGTTTAGGCATTTTAGTTCATATTAGTAGATGATACACACCATGCAAGCTGAACCACCGGGGAACCCCTGAGAAAATTACTTTTAAAGTAGATCTTTACTCATGAGATAACATTTATTTAGGCCTCAGTGCCGGTTGTGTTAAGGAGTGTGTTGTCAAGCTTGGTTAAAAAAATCCATCACAAAATTAAGGCTTGGTTTTTGACACTGAGAGCTGGTCTCATTTATATTAGCACACTTAAAAGTGCCCTGTTGCAGTCTCTTGTTGTAATGCAAACAAAAACACTGTTGACATAGTGTTTTTCACCAGAATACATACTGTGTATTTTTGTGCCTTCTATCCAGTACATTTCCTTCCCCATACATCTTTTCTGAGGTTTTCAAATCTGCGTTGTTTACATTAAAATTTTGTTGCTAGCAGTCATTTTCCTTCTGCTTTCACTGGCCCATTACCACCACCTGTAAACCAGTGATTTATGGTCCTGTGAAACCACTGGCAGGGACATGTATTGCATCACCCACGTGCTTGTGCGCATGAGGGAACACATCAGGAGCCCACTCACAAAAACATTGCTGCAGAGCACTACCAGTGGTAAAACTCCACAGAGTACCTTAAGTTAACTGTCCTTTCAGGTGGAGGCATGCTGCTCACCCAACATGCTGCTCATTTTTTATTTATTATTGCTTTTTAATGGACTGCTCTTCTGCCATGGTGCGTGCTGTGCAGAATCATACATTGTTAGTGGTATTTATGTCTTGTGTTCCAGTGCACTTGTTGGCGCGTGATTGTTAAGTCCTAAAATGACATGATAGAGCTTGCTGTACCTCTTATACCTTTTTTATAGAGCAGGTGATCTGAGTAGATATTGGATCATCTAGCTGCATAAATTATTTAGAGGAGACAGTTCACATTAATCCTCCACACGGACACTAATGGTTCAGTGTAAATTTTCCAGGTTGCTCATTTACACCTGTAAAAATAAAGTATTAATATCCTGGTTGGAAAAAAAATATTTCCTGGGTTTCTTGAGTTTCTTTAATCCCATAATGTACCTAATGCAAGGAGATGCAGAGTTCAGTATGAAACCCATTTGTTATTAAAGGCAAGTATGTTGAAAGTGCGATATCTGCTAATTAATGATTTAATTAATGACCTCTTTAGTTTCAGGGTTATGCTTAGTGTGATTGTTGCAGGACTTTGCATAGGCTGTGTGCTTCTTGTTTAATTTAACAAAATGAAACAGAACAGTAACGTTGACAACTAATAAAGAATTACACAAGTTGAAAATTTACATGGATAATGACATCAGTTACTGTGACAACAAATACAAAACAATTCAGTACATCAACTGTGAATGCCACACTTCTGTCTATTTTTTTGTTTGTAAATGGGTTTAGCTCTCATTCAGGCGGAACAAAGCCGCTGAGGTTCTAGCCCTTTACTGCCCCTGATTCAAGAAGTGACTCATAGCCACATTCCGGAGAGAGTGCTTAGTGTGACATGGAGAGAGGGGAAAGGCAGCAAGAGAAATCAGAGCTCCTGACCACAGGGGCAGTCGCAGTGACCTCTTTGCTCGTACATCTGGAGTCACACACCAGGTTGTTTGAGTTTACAGTCGAGCAGGCGAGCCAAGCTGAGGTTGATTAAGGTGTTTCTGCGCTGCCACCTTTTCTCCTCTCTGCTCCTTCTTCCCAGTCTCCGTTCAGCAGCGCTACATGTTCTAGTTCATCGCTTGGAGAGTCTGTGCTGCGGTTTGACCCGTTATGAAACATTTTTGGCATTTGGAAATGATTTATAGACAATCCCTGGCAAGTTGTTTGTTTCTACATACCAGCTGGTTAAACACGCATGTCAGAACTAAATATAGGCCTGAAGAAAATCCACACTGATGCTTTCATCTGTTTTTTTTTTTCTCCTTTGTTCGAGTTTCAAAACCCACATAAAGGATTAAAATGGAGACATGTTCTCCCCTAAATTGAATCAGTTTGACTGATTGTTGCGAAAGAGACAGTTGATGTGTAACAGGGCTGAAAGTACAAACAACCTGAGCAGGATAACTGGCACATTTTTCACTGCATCCATTTAGATTTAAGGGAGAGAGAGCATTGTGCCTTTGCTGGTATTACAAATGTGTGCATGTGATTGTGTGTCTTTTCAGGGACCCTGGAGGGGGAATTGAGATGGCAGAGTTCATCAGGCAAGAGACCCCTCCAGTGGACTGCAGTTCCAGAAACTCCTATGTTGGAATGGAGTCTAACCAGCAGGTAAGTAGAGCACCGTCTGCTGCACACTCTGCTGGCCCTCATTAGAAGATCCACCCCCTCCCTTCCTTTTTTGGAAAAGAGTAGGCAAATATACCTAAGAAATCTTATTTTCAATGTGACTTATTCAAAGTAAAGCACAGTAAACATGCCAACTATCTGCCTTGGTATGTCTAATTCCATTTACCGTGCCAAAAGGAATCGGCGTTAACCAGTTCATTGGTGTGTTAATCAAATATCATCTGTTCTGCTCTACACAAATGAGAAGAGACAGAAAAACACACAGGGACAGAGATAGAAACACAGAGAGGGTGAGGGGGTTGAATGCCTTAAAGGTACCCTGGGGAGTTTATGTGTAAGCCAACAAAAGGTATGTTTCCATTTAGTGTTACTTCCCAAGATGCATTGCATGTGTCCTTGAGGTCTAACATGTTGAGTGCATTTCCTTTCCCTTAAAACCTTTGCAAGCCAGTTTTTCTTAAGAGTTTGAGCCCAGTGTTGTTTACATCAACGTTTAATAGTATTGTGTTGCCTACATTTGATTCTACAGCTCAGTTTGACTCATGAAAAAAAAAAAAAATGAAATGAACTATAGTGCCACTAAAGATGAAACACTCCAGAGGATACTTTTCACTGATTTGTTGCTCTGGGATTGTTGATGCAAAACAAATGTGATATATACATTGTTGTTAACGACAGGATTCTAGTGTCTGGTTTTAATGGAAATCGAGTGATTTAGTTTTAGTTGTATGTACATAGTGTTGTGCCAATTAATGCATTTGCTTTTTGAGGACTACTGTAGTGCTACATATGGCTGGGAACATTGTTTAATCTTCCCACTAACAAGCCTCATGTTCTGAGTCCTGGCAGATTTTAAGCCTCCTCCCATTTTAGTGTCATGTGCTATGCTTGTGATAGCCCATCTGCTGTGCACGCAAATAGCTAAGACAAATCTAAGTCCAGTTTTGAAATAATTTGGACTTTTATGAATGGACCAGAGGACGGAGCTGTTGGTGTGCGTTTCCATTAGGAATGATCTTTACATAGCCTGCTGTCAGCAGATGTCCACTTGAATTCAAACTTTATTTGGCTGTTTTGTGTCTTCAGATATATTTTACCTCTGTGGGAGCTGTGCTCTGCATCTCCGCACTGTGTCCTTGACTTGCTAATCAACCAGCATATTCTGTTCAGCTGCTATGTGCCGAGTAGGGAGGGAAATCAAAACTTTTCTCTGTGAAGACGGTGAAGAGGCACCGGCTGTTTTTAATGCACAAATAGTGTCTTCTTTGGGACGCTGTGTTCCATACTGATCACACACCTTGTCAGTTTCCATTTATATACTTTTTGCTCCAGAAATTTGCATTTGATATCCTGCATCTTTTTCAGAAGATAAATTGAATTTTTATTGAAATTTCAGATTGCATCCACCCATGGAAGAGCAACAGTTGCCAAAGGTAACTATGACTACCTACCTCCTCATCACATCATCTGCCAAATCATTGTTCTGTGTGCCTGTGTAACTCTATACATTTAAAAAGTGAGAGGAATTGACATGCTACAAGCATATTAAGACACTTTTGGTTTTCAAGCCTTCTTTATGACCCTGTGTTGCTTTTTGTTTTTGTGGGATCACCACAGCCCTTCTCCAGGAATTCTGCACTGCAGTACTGAGAAAACGACAATAAATGAACTTTGCTTTGGGTCATTGTTAGAGTGGCTGTGTCATCTGATTAATTCAGTGAGTCTGCCTAGTGCCGTACTAATTAGCTAACAGCTTGTGATGACAGGAAACGGTATGAAGTAGGCTGCGGGTTTGCTGGAGTTCAGCTTTTAGTCTCCTTCCCTTTTGTCTAATTGGAATCACAAACTCTCAGGGAATTGGGTCACTCAGAAAAAGACTTTGTGAAATGCTAAAGGTCAAGATTCATTTAAACAGCTATATTTGTTCAGAGGTCATGTTGTTCAGCCATCTGGACATTTGAGGAATCATTTCAGAAGAGCGCCATTATATTTTGTTGTTCCAGGTATACAAATGAGGCAACCTCTCACCTCCTACAGTCAGGGAAAAAATGATTTGAACCCCAGCTGATTTTGTAAGTTTGCTCACTAACAAAGAAATGATAAGTCTACAATTTCAATGGTTTATTTGAACAGTGAGAGACATAACAAAAAAATCCAGAAAAATGCATTACAAAAAAAGTTATACATTAATTTGCATTTTCATGAATGAAATAAGTATTTGATCCCTTTGCAAAACGTGCTTTAGTACTTGGTAGCAAAACCTTTGTTGGCAATCACAGAGGTCAGACGTTTCTTGCAGTTGGCCACAAGGTTTGCACACATCTCGGGGGATTAAGGGACCTGCTCCTCTTTGCAGATCCTCTCCAAGTCATTAATGTTTCGTGGCTGATGTTTGGCAACTCGAACCTTCAGCTCCCTCCACAGATTTTCTATGGGATTAAGGTCTGGAGACTGACTAGGCCACTCCATGACCTTAATATGCTTCTTCTTGAGCCAATCCTTTGTTGCCTTGGCCGTGTGTTTTGGATCATTGTCATGCTGGAATACCCAACCACACAGGCCCGTTTGAAGTTTGCTACTGAACATCTGACTGATTCAGAGGAAGACTGGGTGAAAGTGTTGTGGTCAGATGAGACCAAAATCGAGCTCTTTGGCATCAACTCAACTCGCCGTGTTTGGAGGAGGAGGAATGCTGCCTGTGACTCCAAAATCACCGTACCTACCGTCAAATATGGAGGTGGAAACATTATGCTTTGGGGGTGTTTTTCTGCCAAGGGGACAGGACAATTGCACCGCATCAAAGGGAGGATGGATGGGGCCATGTACCGTCAAATGTTGGGTGAGAACCTCCTTCCCTCAGTCAGGGCATTGAAAATGGGTCGTGGTTGGGTATTCCAGCATGACAATGATCCAAAACACACGGCCAAGGCAACAAAGGATTGGCTCAAGAAGAAGCATATTAAGGTCATGGAGTGGCCTCGTCAGTCTCCAGACCTTAATCCCATAGAAAATCTGTGGAGGGAGCTGAAGGTTCGAGTTGCCAAACATCAGCCACGAAACATTAATGACTTGGAGAGGATCTGCAAAGAGGAGTGGGTCAAAATCCCCCCTGAGAAGTGTGCAAACCTTGTGGCCAACTACAAGAAAGGTCTGACCTCTGTGATTGCCAACAAAGGTTTTGCCACCAAGTACTAAAGCACGTTTTGCAAAGGGATCAAATACTTATTTCATTCATGAAAATGCAAATTACTTTTAACTTTTTTTGTAATGCATTTTTCTGGATTTTTTTGTTATTGTTGTGTCTCTCACTGTTCACATAAACCTACCATTGAAATTGTAGACTGATCATTTCTTTGTTAGTGGGCAAACTTACAAAATCAGCTGGGGTTCAAATCATTTTTTCCCTGACTGTACCTCTGGCTGTGAATCTGTTAATAACTGATTAAACATCTCTTAATTGCTTTCACTGTCTTCGCAGGGGATGTGGGAAAGACCTCAGATGACATCAGTTTGACTCTTGTTGGGAGCTGCAGTCATGATCATGGTAAACATGCACATTATAAACAAAAAGCTTTTTATGTTAGTAGCTTTGACATTTCAGCACCTCAGTTTTTAATGTCTTGTCTCCATTTAGATCTGCTATCAGACACAAAGATGTACTGCCTTGTTCCCAATGACTCCTTCGCCTCCATGCAGCCGTCAACCTCCTTGTGTCCTTCAGAACTGTCCAGGGAGCCTGCTGATCTCTGTAACTCTGCTGCTTATCACTTCAGTCTGTCACACTCCTCCTGTGACACAGAGGTGACCACCCATGCATCCACACAATCTCAGAACTTTAGGAAGGAGCTCCGTTCTAGGGGCCTGCCTCGGACCTCTAGCTCAGCAGGTTCTGCTTTTCCTGACCCATGTCTACCAGACTTTGCTCTGTACCCTCCACCCAGGAGAGGGGGCCTTGACCCTGTGTGTGAGTTGGAGACAGCCAGGTCACACAGGGAGGGGGCTGAGCGGCTGTACCAACAGGACCAAGCTGTGCCCTCCACCTCTGGAATAGAGTGTTACAGGCACAAAGAACCTCGCAGAGTTGCTCCCTCAGCCTCCAGGGAGGCAGGGGAAGGTAGCTCAGGACTGTACCAGGTGGAGGTGGGTTGTGGGAAAGTCTCTGGTAGAGGAGGAAAGTCCCAGGGTGGGGAGCGCAGTGCTGATAGCCTGAGGAGTCTGAGTACTCGCAGCAGTGGCTCCACGGAGAGCTACTGCAGTGGTACAGACAGGGACACCAACAGCACTGTCAGCAGCTTTCATAGTGAACAGACCAGCTCAACACATGTGGAGAGCCTGCTGTCGCTTTCAGGGGATGAGCGTGTACGGGACAGAGGAGAGGCTGCCTTTGCTCCTGCAGACGGCAGGACTTCTAGCCTCGGCAGTATTAGCTCTCGAGGTCTCAGCAACCTTCCCTCCAGGGAGGCCAACAAAAACCCTCATGCCAATGAGCTGACTGCTAAACAACCTGCTGACATA